CACACACACACACACACACACACACACACACACACACACACACACACGTGCCATTAGGTGTGTGTGTACAGGACAACTTGAAATCAGCTCTCTTCTTCCACCATGTTAGTCCTAGAGATCAAACTCACTAGGTTTGGTAGTAGGAGACTTCTGCCGTCCCTGCTTACGTGTTTCATGCGTAAAATGCTGAAAGGAGCCTACAATGGTGTGCAGGCCTGTAATCGCAGCACCCAGAGGTTGAGGGTCGGAGGGAAGGACTGCAAATCGCAGGTCAGCCTGGGGTAGGTACATTGGGAGACTTCATCAAAGAAAGACAAGTGAGAAAGGAGAGAAAATGCTCAGCCAGCCCTCCAGTTTCTGGGAAGCTTTCTTGTTGAAAGGGACTTCTCAGTTTTGCAGAGCCACAGACACAGGAAAAGAATCCTAAAACAGCATGTGAAGTAACTGAGCAAGCAGATGTGACTCAGCGAGGCAGTTGTAGCATGTGGAAGAGGACATGTCCAGGGCAGTTGTCTGCTTTCTAGCACTTCAGTGCTTCTCCTCAGATCTGCTGCTGATAGCTTGGCTCTGGCCACACCAGGTCACACAGCGACCTTCAAGAACCCCGGAGGAAAGGTCCACTGTGTTCAGGAGTGCTGAAGAGGAAAGGTGTGATCTTTCCCTGATCTGCTTCAGCCTCCCGAAGGCTGTGGGCGGTCCAAAAGCAAGTTTTATTCCTGGCTTCTCCTTCTGCCTCAGCAGGAAATTAGCTTTCAAGACCTTTAGGCTAAGGGTTTATCAGGCTGAAATCAGTCTTTGTCCCCACTCCCAAAGCTCCAACTGTTTGAGGACTACTAAGCATGTTTTCTTGGTAGTTTTGAGACAGTGTTTCACTCTGTAGTCTTGGCTGGCCTGGGATTTGCTATGTAGATCAGGCTGAATTTGCAATGACACTCGTACCTCTGCCTCCTGCACGCTGAGATTACAGATGTGTACCTACATGCTTTGTGTACCTACATGCTTAGCAACGGTCCCCTGCGAGCCCCTCTCTGTTAGAACTGTTAGCATGTGGCTCCCACAGGGCTACACTCTCAGTCTATAATGTTGCTTCTCTACAGTCACTGAGCATGTGCAACAGCTGATCACTTGTTACGTTTTTCTCAATGGGAGGGGGGCTCCCCTTTTCTGGGCGGAAGGGGAAAGGAAAAAGGGGAAGGAGGAGAAGGGGGAAACTGAGAAGAGAGGAGGGAGGGGCCACCCTTGGGATATAGAAATAAAAAAAATTTTTTTACTATGAAAAAGAATTTGTTTTTCTCAACTTCTTCCACCGTCCCCCTAACAACACACAAAGCTCTTCAGGTAGCTTTGAAATAATCACATTTGCTTTTTCTTTTAAATAGCAATTGGGATTGCTCCTCCATAATACAATATTTTGTTTTCCGCACTTGCCTTTAATAACTTAAATTAAAAACCTGAGTTTAATCCCCGGACAGAATCCACATGGCGGATTAGAGAACCAACTCCTGTTGACCTCTATACCTGCACAGTGGCATGTGTGTGTGCTCGTCCTGTCACTCACACATGCAAATTAAGTAAGTAACTGTAATTTTAAAATTATTGGGTATGGGGAATGAAGTGATTTAGAGGGAGCTAAGTTGTTCAGGGCACCTGCCACTCTTGCAGAGGACCCAGGTTTGGTTCCCAGCAAGCACATGGCAGCTCACAACCATCTGTAACTTCAGTTTCAGGTTCTCTCTCTCTCTCTCTCTCTCTCTCTCACCCACACACACAAATCCTATCCTTGTGTAATTTATAATACTGGAGTTCACATCTTAGGCAAGAAAAATAAAATTACAGATGAACCTCTATATATGTAAGGCACTGATCATCATATAGTAGTATTTACACATAATCTCCTGTGCACTTTAATTTTTTTCTTTCTTTCTTTATGATTTTTCAAGACAGGGTTTCTCTGTGTAGTCAGGGCTGTCCTGGAACTTGCTCTGTTGACCAGACTGGCCTGGAAAGTCAGAGATCTGCCTGCCTTTGCATCCCAAATGCTGGGACTAAAGGCATGTGCCATCATGCCCGGCTTAATTCTTATTATTTTATTTATTTTTGTGATCCTGAGAATTCAAGCCAGGGCTTTGTTGGTGGTCAGGCATGTGTTTGGTAGCTACATTCCCAGGCGGCTACCGTATACTCTAAATCATCTCCAGGGCTAGATGAATATGGACTCATGTTGTGTATGCTGTGGTCAGTGCTGAGCTTCAGGGTAAATACACTCAGGTTTGTGTAAGCGCACACAAAGTTAGGACAACGACGTAACCCAGCAATGCATTCCTCTAAAGTATCCCCTTCATAGGTTATGCAGGGCTGTAGTTGCTATACTGTATTGTTAGGTAAGAGTGTCAAGAAATGAAATCTGAACATATTCACTACAGATTTTTTTTTTCCCTCTTTAAATATTTCCTATGTTGGGTCTGGTTAGGTTGGGAGGGCTGCTAAGAGTGACAGCACTAACAGTTCCAGGGCCTTAATTGTGTGCTGGCATCGGTTCAACTGCTTAACTTGTATTTAAATAATAAATACAGAAAAGGAATGACTGCCTAGGAAAGAAAAAAGAAGGTGGACATTGCCATTGTAATTCAAGGAAGGGATAGCACTACAAAGTCAGCTGACACCCGAGCCAAGGAGCCAAGGGCAATAACAGCCAAGCGTGTGGGTACGCGAAGTAGCATGGGGGGCGGGAAATGCAAAGCTATGGGCAGAGCAATGTTATTAAATGCAATCTGCAGGGTAAAAAAATGTGAGGCTTTGAATAGTAAAGATGCTTCAAAGAGTATTGCCAACTAGAGGAAGAAATAACGCAGGACACCGGACCACATTTACAGGCTCCTACTGTGACAAGTTACTGAACTGCGCAAGAGAACCAACTACCCTCGAAACAATAATAATAAAAGTAAAATATGGCTGGAGAGATGGCTGAGCGGTTGAGACACGAGCTCCTCTTCCGGAGTAATAGGGTTCAATTCCCAGCACCCACGTGGCAGCTCACAAGTGTCAGCAACTCAACTTCTAGAGGATCCAATCGATAGTCCTCTTTTGGCCTCCACGGGCACTGCGCGCACACGGCACACTGACATACATGCAGGCAAAAACCCTCTACACACAGAGTTTAAAACTAAAATAAAAACAGCTTCTCCAGAGGCTCCAGCCGCAGTGTTGTTGAGGGACTTAAGCTGTCAATCAAGATTTTCTCTTCCGCTCGTCATGGTGACTCTAGTGCGCACGCGCACCACACACCCCCTCCCACCTCTCGCCCCGCCTAAGTGCGGTAGTTTGCAGTGCGCATGCACTCACCGCGTCGTTATCGACATCTCCGAGGCAGATGGCGTGCGGAAAGAGGCTCCCGCTGAAGTCCAGCGCCACGCGCTGCACGTAGCTAACCGACCTCATGGCACTCTGGAGGGCTGAGGTGCCGGGGAACCGCACCAAACGAAACCCAGCCTTCGCAACAGTCTCGCGCGTGAGCGAGCCCACCGAACCGGAAGTCTACGTCACCTCCTGAGCCTCCAGTTCCGGCTTTCTTCACTTAACCTTAGAGGAGGAGGCCGTCCTTCCGTGCCAGGAGCCGACCTGACCCCTGGTATTTAGTCCCTCCTCTGAGGGGATTCAAAGCATCCGTATTAATAGCTGTCATAATTAACAACTTCATGTTTTCCAACAGTTCTTCCATGAAATTACCTAATAGGAGTTGTCAACACAATGTAGTGGATTGCAGCCCACGTTAAAACAAACAACTTGAGACCTGAAAAATAGCTCAGAACGCTGGCTCTTCTTGCACGAATCCAAGATCGATTCCCATTTGCTCACACCCATCTGTAATTTCAGTTGTAATTCCAGTTCCGGGGGACCCAATACCAGACCCCCTCTTTGTGCTTCCCCGGCACCCACTAGAAGCAGCAAAACAGACACTACAAATTTTTTTAAAATATGAAAGCACAAAAGGACCTAAGTAGTAAATAGTATTATTTTTGTGAAAGCTTTGTTTCAGTTATTTATACGTACATATATATCCTGGATTATAATGAAAAATTTTTATGCTGTGTACTTGGTGGGCAGCAGCTTGAAAAACACCTACTGCAAAGCACACCTTACATATATTTAATAAAACCAACACAGTTGTGTAAGCTTTAATTACTGTTCCTTCAGAGGAGGAAAATGCGTTCAGCAAGACTGAGTAACTTAGCAAAAAGTGGTAGCCATGAGCCTCTTGATCCAAACGTCTAGATCCAAACATGTTAGCGCTCTTTTGTCACGGTTGCAGTTCCTACAGAAAGTGAAGGCCGCTGGGATTCTGGAGCCGTGGTATGATGCAGGCCCCAGCCCCAGCACAAAGCCACCTGTTTCAAGTGGCCTTACTTTGGTTTAGGCGGGCGGGACCACTGCTCTCATGCCTGTTTTTGGATACTTTCCCTGTGGAATCAGGTGTTGCCTTTATTTTGAAGCGTCTTGTCAATGCAACAGGAGTTTTAAGCTAGATGTGGTAGCGCTTGCCTGTAATTCCAGCACACAGGAGTGTGTGCAGGCAGGAGGATCAAAAGTTCAACATCAGCCTTGGCTATGTATTTCTATGTCAGCTTTGGTTACATGAGACCCCCGTCTCCAAAAAAAAATTTAGTCTGGAGGGTTGAGGATGTAAGTCAGCTTGTAGAGTGCTCACTTGGCATGTGTAAGTCCTGAGTTCTATCCTTCCCAATAGATAAGCAGGGTGAGACATTCATACTGTAATCCTGGCATTAGGCAGAGGCAGGGTTATCAGAAGTTCAGGATTATTCTCAATTACATGCAATCTGAGGCTGCCCTGAAATCATGAGGGCACTCTGTCTCTCCTTTTAAATATGTCTCTCCTTTTCTAAGTTTTCAATGTGCACGCTCAGGCTGATCTACACTTGGTTTCTCAGCAGTCACAATAACTATTTAGGAGATTACGGACATTCTATGTTGAAGGTAATGGGAGGCGACTGAGGGAGAGACCTTTCTACCCGGGGAGAAGGGAAATGATGGATTTGGTCTTGGTGACTCTGACAATGAAAGCAGGAAGGAAAAATGGGAAGCAAACAGGAGGCAGTGTGGACCAATGCTGGGGATTGCAAACCTATCACTACCTGCTGTCTACACTTGTTCAACTCAACTTCCTATTACTGTTTCAGGAGAAAACAAAAATCAACCTTCAAGTGTTTGTACCTCAATGTAGGAAGTAATTTGTTTTGTTTTAGGTAACTGTTTTCCCTTCTTAGCTTTCTGAATAAAATTGTAAGATAAATATTTTATAGCAGAGAAGCCCACTTCTCACTATCTGCCCTGGAGGGACCCAGTTCTTTGAATCATATTCTGACCCAGAACCCCACAATATATATATATATTGAGACAGAGTTTCTCTGTAGACCAGGCTAGTTTTGAGCTCACAAAGATCTCCTGCCCCTGCCTCCCTAATTTTATCTTCCTCATCACTTGGGGTTCTTGTTCTGGGATTCTCAATGGCCATGTATGGTTTTGTTGTTTATCAAGAAGGTCCTGTCCTTTCAGTCACAACTTGGACACCATGTCGTTTGACTTTTGTCAATCAAGTAAGCCAAGTTAAAAAAAAAAGTCCCCAACAAATAGGGCATAAAACTAAACAGTGTGTGTGTTGTCTGTATTCCTGTGTGGTGGGTGTTTGACTAGGTGGGCATATGTGAATGCCAATTGCTTCTCCATCTTGAGACATGGTTTTGCACTGAACCTGGAGCTGACCATTTCAGCTAGTCTGGCTGGCTAGTGAACTGTGCTGCCCTCTAGCCCCAGGGCTACAGGTGCATTTTTATGTCAAGCTTTTACATGGGTGCCAGGGACCTGAACATAGGTCCTCATGCTCATGCAAGCATTTACCCACTGAGCCATCCCTGACCCAAATCTTTGTAAACCTACTGTCTTTCCTAACCTCGCATCCTTTGAGTAGTACATTGTTCAAGGTAGTAAAACAAGGCTGGTCCCTGCAGAGCTACACAGCTGGATTCCCTTTTCCAGCAATGATTTCCTTGTAAGAATATATCTTAACAATAGTTTGGTATTGTTCTATACCTTTTTTCTTCAGCTGAAAAGGGACACACAACCCACCTGCAGCGATGTCACAACGGCACTGAAGTGGACAAGGTATGTGGCATCAGGCCTTGAAAGCTTTGTGGGATCCTGTACAGGGACTCTCAGTGGACAAAACAGTCTGAAGTGTAAGTGGGGAGACAGTGTCTTGTAAGAGCAGGTCAGAGATGAATAGTGATGTGGGGGCAGGTGGAGAAGGTATTGTAGGAGTAGAAACATTTCATAGGCTGGAGAGCATAACTCCACTTTAGCCTATTTCCAGAAATCTACACTAATAGCGCAGAATATCCTTTGCTGCTGGACTTTCTGAGCACATTCCCTGCATAAATGCTAAAGTGTAGGTGAGCAAGGTGCAAGTGTCTAGAAGACATGAGTGACCCAGCAGCGCTCAGTATGTAGCAGGATTATTTGTTGCCATAAAGACCTAGTCACTTTTCTAAAGCATCTTCAAATAGACAGTTTTAAATGTTAAAATCAACTATGACTTTTCCATCTCTAGTGCTCTATAAAAGCAGTTACATTAAGTTCTTAAATCCTAAGGGACATTCAGAGATGAAAAGGATTTTAGGGTGCTTTTTATCCATGGAATTGTAGATGAAGAGAGGAGGCTCAAGACTCGCCCTGAAATCACATGACTTCACGGTAGTTTGGATTAGTTCAGAGAACTTCAAGTAGGCATTTTGCAAACATTTTTTTTTTTTAAACAGGGTTTCATACAGCATAAGCTGTCATTGAATTTATGTAGCTGAAGGTAACCTTGAAGTCCTGATCCCTCTCCTCTGCCTGTACCTCCAAGTGTTGGAATTACGAATGTGCACCATCATGCAAGGTTCCTGCGGTGTTGGGGATCCAACCCAGTGCTTCCTGCCTCCTTTAATTTATATGTAATGTCTGAGTGTATACAGGGCACAGTGGAAGCCAGATGTCATTGGATCCCCTCCAGTTGGAGGTGGGGAGCCCTTGCTGCTCTTGGAAAGGACCTGGGTTTAGCACCCACAATGGTGGCTCACAATTATCTTTAACTGTAATTCCAGGGGATTTAACACCCTCTTCTGCCGTCCATGGATACTGTACACACAGAGATACACACAAGTAATTCATACACATACACTTTGTTTTTAAAACACTATTTATGTAGTCCTGGAATCACTATGTAGACCAGGCTGGTCTTGAACTGAGGAATTTCCCTTGCCTTTGCCTTCTCAGTGTTGGATTACAGGTGTGCCACCATGCCTGGCACTAAAACAAATCTTCAAATATAAAAAACATTAGTACATGAATGCCGGATTCTGAGGTGCATCGTGTGCAGTGCCTATGGGAAGCACAAGAGGGTACTGGATCCCCTCAGGACTAGTTAGGTAGCTGCCCGCAGGGAGGCTGGGAACCAACTGTAGGGCCTCTGCAAGACAAAGTACTCCTACCATGCAGTTTCTCCAGGTCCAGCACCCAGCTTTTGACATGGGTATGGGGATCTGGACCTAGGACCTCATTTGCACAGTAAACAGTCTAGTGACTAAGCTGTTTCCCAAGCTTTGGTGGAGTTTCCACATCTGTAAAATGGGCCATGCCTTCCTCAGGATGGTTGATCAAGACTCTATCACATGGAGTCCTTGGTACAGGCCAAAGCTTACACTGGTAAGTGCTTAGCAATTTAGTGGGCTTGGTATTGTCGTTGAGAGCTAAGGCAAGAGTCAAAATTAGAAGCTACCTAAAGGAACCAGACTTAAAACTCCTAAGCCTGGCCTTACACCTAATAGGGGAACTAGCAGACACAGTGCTAGCCGTGCTGGAGAACGGAGACCTTTTCTACAGAACCTCATTTTCTACAATGTCAGGAGCTATAGCTGGTACTGCCTCACTTGTTTAGGAAGGGCCACCAGGGGCAGTGTGAGGTCTGACCGTGGTTGCCACGGACCACCTGGCTTCTTGTAAAGGCCAAAACTTAAGTCAGGAAAGAGGCATGAAGGAGGTACAGGGTGCTCCTAAGACAGAGAAGGTGGGTGTGACCAGTTCTTCACCAGTATCTCAATTCACGTAAGTGCTAACTGATCTGAAAGGCAACACCGTAGTCTTTATACCTTAAGAAGCCAAGGACCGGTGTTGTAGGGATGGCTCAAGTGGTTAAGAGCACTTGCCGCTTTTGCGAAGGACCCAGGTTAGATTCCCAGCACCTAACCTGTGACTCAAAATTCTAACTTCAGTCCCAGGGGGCTGGATGCCCTGTTCTAGCCTCCACAGGCACCAGGAATGCACAGTGTTTAGACAGACATGTAGGTAAGGCTCTCAAACTAAAAAACAAGACAAACCAAAAACAAAAAAACCCCAACACCACAGAAACACCTAAGATATCTGCCAGAACAGAAACAGCATGAACCCAGTTTCAGAACCAGATGTTTAGATTTACCTCTTTCTGTTTGGAAC